CAGAGAGAAACTAGACAGCCTATTTGATATCTAGATTGACGTCCAGAATCAAAATCAACAAGCCAATTTTAACTATAGTTCTCAAAAGACTGGTATATTACACAATGTCAACAGTCACGCTATTATTCCCAAAAATTCCAAGACAGCAAATGACTTAGGAAATTATGCATCAGTGTGTCAAAAATTGCACACGCAGACGGAAAATAATTAACCATTATAAAGAAAAAATCGAAGTTTACGGAATGATATGGTCGTGATTCAAAGCGCCAACACACGGATGCCATGAGAATAGCAATCAAGGTGCCAGAGACAATAAGCCTGAATACGCTTTAGCCACATGCTCCGGTAACTTGCAAAGTACGAGGAAATACATTTTTCATTGGTACTCTGTCTGATTTCATACTCACTAATCAAATAACAGCATTCGGCACCAACACTACTACGTGGAGCCGTTTGCTGCCTGGCACATTCCTAGGTCGCCCATAGAGTGGGGAGGAAGAGGAACAGCTAACCGGAAAGGTCCACTAAATAAACGACCTCAAACGAGCAGTACTTCTAGACGTGCCGGATCTCTGTGCAGTCCGCGAGTTCTCCCTAGAAAACGCCACAAGAGTCGAGAAACGTAGTGGTTGTATCTGGCCCATGGCTAATGTTCTCTTGTCTCCTCGAGAATTTCAGCAGAGGCATCCAAACCAAAATTCTCAGTTGCTGACTTCTCTAGAAGCTCTGTTAGTGTTGTACTCTGAATAGACTCCAGTTTGTATGAAGTAAAACACCAGTGATCAGCTCCAAATCCTACCTCGCCCTACTGCCTTGGGCTTCCCCGCGAAAACAGGGCAGTTCTCATCCAATAAGATGCTGAAACGTTCACGTTCCAGCTGTCTCACTGAATGCATGAAACTAAGGGCTGATCCCGAATAACAGACCGTCAATCAATGCATCAGCGAACAACGCTGAAAAGAAACCCAAAGGCGTTGCATGACCAGTTGCTAGAAGTCCCCACAGTGGTGCTTCGGTCACGCCTCTGCGTTGGATCTACGCCTCACTGACTGGTGGTCAAACTCTAGAGTCAAACAGTGCGCTCAGAGCACCCAACGAAATCCCCTTCGTCATCGTGGACTACCGCAAATTAGGTCATACGCTGATGTCTTTGACACCCATTTGGGAGAACCCCATTGCATCCATACAGTTTAACCTCTCACTCACAAATTTTACTAGATGACTCCTGTCTCCACCACTCAGCAGATCATTCAGCGTTTAACCAGTGTGGTCAACCAACTGATTAAATCAACATCTCGTTTTTCTTTAGCCAAATTTGATATCCAGGTTAAAATGGAAGGCCCTTGCTAGGGTTTACGAAGAAAAACTATTTCCTCCGTGTAGGGTGTTGCGAATTGCCGTACTGTAAACGGCAACAGAGCGAAGAGTCGGTGCTCATTCGCCATGCCCATGTATGTATGCATTGACTGACTGAAATGGAGAAGAGCTCTCTTGACGGTTTCAAAATGTTTGGTCAATGGACGTAGTACTAGTCACTGGATGTTTCAACACTGAAGTGGGATACTTGGATGATTCAGAACTGTCTAGGTATTAAACGCATTCTCAGACAACTGGAGAGAAAACAGGTGTGGCCTATTTGAGCTCTGTGCGGAATTCGGCAAAACAACCTAAACACAAAGAAAGGATTTACTCGACCTAGGCTGTTTCAATGTACGGGACGAATGCGACAATTGGTGGATGGACAAATGCAAAGAGATATGAAAGACTGCAGTCATCGGCAACAGCTGCCACATTTTTCATTTAACTAAGAATACGGGCCCGCGAAATGTGCGTCCTGCGTAAAGGGCAGAAAGTCCTAATGCACAATTCAACTGTTCGCCACTGACATTAGATTTGCCAACTGCTGCTTTAATAAGGCATCCACTACCAGTCCACTATCTGCGATCCAGGCTATAAGTCACCTCAAAATTTCAGCCTCGGTCATGCAATTGACAAAACTCGGTGTTCGTCAC